AGAAGTTGCAAAACTATCTAAAGTAATAACATAAACACATACTTTTAATGAATCTCACCGTTGCCAGCTTCCTTCTCAGTTTTAGTTTTCTTAATCTTAGACATACAATAAATTTTAGAATATGTTTTATTGTGGAAGCTTTTTATTTTGCCCTTAATGGCAATTAAAAGTTAATATCGCAAAAATATTTAACCCAATAAAGCGATGTAATATTTGTTTTAGTCGTTTAATGTTAATAAATCTTGATTAAAGCCAACGGGGTGGATCAGTTCCATGGTGCTACTCTCTCGATATGAACTACCTTGGGTTTATTTGCTGAAAACTGGATGCGATAGATTAGATCATTTATTTTCTGCAGGACGGTATACGGGCCATCCCCGTTTCGTTGAAGTTTCGGACAAAGTCCTTTCTTCAATTTAAAAGCCCTTTTAGACAAATTATCAACCCTTACTGGAATCATCTCATCTAAATTAATGAGGCATCTGGCTATCAAAATTCCATCACTAACTAGTTCATCGCTTTCCACAACGCCGAAATGTAGACCTTCAGGTTTTTGACTCAGTCTCCCCAGGATGATACTTTCAGAATTTTGAGGAATTTCGGTATCCTCGCTCACTATAACTCTTTCTTAAGGTATCGATTCTTCCAAATTTAGGATAATTTCTTCATTTTCAATTAACAAAATTTTATTTTGACTGTCAAACATATCTTGCTTGATTGTCCTCAATTCATGGAAAAAAGAAGATCCCATGGATTCACAGATGATGATCTCAAGACAGTTCTCAAAAAAAAAAATTCAAGAGTGTTAAGCTATTTAAAAGACATCAATTTATTCAATTGTAATCATGAATGTGTTGCTTGTGTGAGTCCATATCAAATAGGTAAAGAAATAATAATAAGACTTACTCACAATCAATTTAATTTAACAATCTGTCGACCGGTTTCGCTTTCTACAATTTGCAAAGCATCTTCAGGTCGAGATACAAAGTTAAACTAATGCTGCAATAAAATAAACCCAATTAGGGTGGTGTCTCATAAAGATAAAATAAACAAATAAATTAGTTCATACAAATTATAGTAATTATGCCAATATTACATGTCTGTGGTTTTCAAAATGAATAATTTGAATATATAAAAGGTATTAACAGACAAGGTAAGGTCCACAATTGGTATAAAGTAGCAATCTTATATTGTAATAAATTAATAAATGAGCAAATAAATAAAACAAAACAAAACAAACATTACTTACATGCCGGTACTCTATTAATTGATGGATGGTAGGTCATGGTTGCAAAAATCATGTATTGTTGATTGGAGAACTTTAATGTGCTATTGCAGTTGTTTTGACAATAAACGGGAAGTTCTTGAGGAGAACAGATTTGATCCAATGAATTAGAGATAGGTATATTGTTGTTGTTTGTCAGATGAAAGTGATGTTCTTTACTATTGTATTATTTAAATTATTTACACTTATAACAGAGATATATTTTTTGGAATGTGTGTTATTTATTGAGTATTTATGTAATGAAGGAGGCAGTTTTATGACAATGAATAAGAGTAGCTGTACCGATTGTGTGGTTGTGCAATTTTTTGACTTGCAATTATCAAGTCTATTGGCAAAATTAATAAATTATTGTAAAGTCAACTATGTAAAAAGGTATATAAAAGTATATAAAATTATTATAAATTAAGAGTGATCAGGGACAAATTAAACACACATTAACAGGAAACAGAAACACTAAATGACGGGACAAACATTGAATTTAAAACTTAAACTTGGGGGATGGAAGAAACTGTAAGCACTACATCTCACTTGTTGGAAGAAATGAGTTTTTTTCTATTTAATCTATTAGATTTAAGAGGTAAATTTGACATATGTAGGTTGAAGTGTGACAGTTCTTCTTCTCTTACTAAATACTGTAACTAAATAATGTTGAATAACTAAACTTACAAAATAGTTTTAGTAATTTATAAATAATGTTCTTATTAATTTCCGCTCCACGAAAGACAAAGCCATTATCAAGAAAATTATTTCTTATAAGTTTTATAAGGTGTGGTACATCACATAAAACATGGATTTTATGATTTGTAGGGCCTATAAACCACGGCTTTTCTTCATTTATTTCAAGATTTTTATGAAGGCCTCTGTTACCACCTCCCAAATCACTAACAATAGCACAGACATGAAATCCTGCCTCTTCTACTTCCTTAATTATGTCAAACAGAATTGTTTTTTCCATTTTTCTGTCAAAATCAAAATAAATTGGCTGCTTCCAGGATGTCAGTAGTCCTCTCATCATTGCTACCTGAACATAGTTGGAAGGTTTTAAAAGATGGTCATTTGCTTTGTCGTATGCATAGGTTTTTCGAATCTTTATTTCATCGAAGGAAACAACACATATTTTTTTAGATTCGGATAAGTGAGAATTTTTTAAAATTTTTAGAACAGGTTTTATTATGCCTGGAACAATTTTGACTTTTTTAGTCCATGAACGAAGAGTTGAAACAGCAGGATATGGATAATCTTTTTTCAGCAATAATTTATATGCTTTTGGTCCAGCTGCATGTATGGCAATACCTTGGGAGACTTCCTCAGTAGTCCATACTGTTCTAACTTTGCGCCTTTGCAGTCTTTTTAGCTGTCTTTTGGTAAATATCTTATCTACTCCTGACTTCATTTCTGTTAATTCATTAACCTGCTGAAGTAAGGCTTTGTTCTCGACACGTAACTTTTGAAGTTCAAGATCTTGTGCAGGTTCCATATCTGTATTTAATCTAAAAACCAAAATCATATTTTTAATCTACTATATATATATGTATATATATATATATATATATATATATATATATATATATATATATATATATATATATATATATATATTGCATAAAGTTAAGAATAGTATGTTTTCATTCAGACGACTGATCACAGCATATTTTAGAACATTTTACATACCCGTCTGATTTTATAATCTAAGAAATATAGAACTAAAAAATAAATGTTAAGATATTATTTTTATGTCATAATATTTAAAAGTGTTTCTACCAAAAGATGTAGAATAAAATAATGTTCACCTAGATTGTGTAATTATCTGTTCCACAATCCTCTTTGACTCCCTTTTGGAAAACCTTTCCTGCCTTTTAAGTTGATTTATGGATAAGCTTTTTGATTTTGGTAGATGAAGAGAAGGAATCGCATCACCCTTCAGTTTGGGTCCTTTCTTTGATTCATACTGCAGCAATTCATGCTGCAAATTTCTTTTAAAGTCTTCCGGCTTAAAGTGTTTGGAACAAATCCTTGAAGTTTTAGTATTAAATTTGTCTTTACGGTAACAAGCAATAACCCGCAGTTTTTTCACTACCGAGTCCTTGGGAAAACTATAAAACCTAACAGATTTATCGGCACCTTTTGTCTGATTATCACTTATAAACAACTATATACTGCACAACGCATTTTATGTTTACGTTGTAAACAATTTTTAGCAAAACCCCCCTAAAAAATACAAGATGGGTATAGGTATGGTTGAGTATTAAATACTGACTCAATAATAATTAAACATACCTAATTTACAATTTCTAAAAGACCAAATTGTTGCCCATATAAAGTAGGTATACCTACAAAACCACGATCACTCAAAAAACTCGCATAGAGAGTTGAATATATCCTTAATAATAATTATTTTTTACTAAAATGCCTACAAATCAACTTAACTCTCACAAAAACACTATAAAATCTTCCACAAGCTTATTAAAGACGTCAAAAGTTTAAACATTGATAAAATTCAAATTATAAACAAATGTATTATAACTCTCATTATGACGTCGACAGTAGGGGGAGTGGCCTGCGCAATATCATACCTGTCATTCTTTGTACCATGAGTGTTACTAATCTAGAACGAAATATAATTTTAAAGAGCGCAAATGGTTTGACCAATATAGGTAACGTATTATAATATTGTTTTGAGGGCCTTTATATGTGGCATCTTAAATGTTTTTGCATGTCATTGGAATATACCAAAAAAAAAATACGTCTAGCGGAATCTTCTGTTAGAAGGTAGGAACGTAGCTAAAAGGAAAATAATTTTAAATCCAATAAAAGATATTTTTCACATCGATTATATTCTTATAAAAATGACGCGGTATGTGCTTATTAAAACCGTTCCATCGTCCGTTTATACATGAATCTTTGCGATATATGTTTAAGGCAAGATTCAATAATCTTAGAGTATTGAAATTTGGTATACAGTTTCTTGTTGATATATGGAAGGGTCGTATTGAATTTACTATCAATAGATTGTCTTCTTTTTTAAAGATTTTTATAAATTTGTCTTTTTATTAACAAAGTATATAGACTAGAAGGTTTTTGGTTGGTAGAGCCTATTATGACCTATGGGGCAGAGGTTTGGCAGATAACGCAGAAGGATAGAAAAAGAATAGAAGTAGTAGAAATGGATTTTCTAAGGAGAGCGTGTGGTATATCCAAAAAAGATCACATCAGGAATGAAGATATTAGAAGGAGGACAAATACTGTATATTCCAGTGTAGATAGAATTGAAACGAGACAACTAGTGTGGTATGGTCACGTGAAACGAATAAATGAAGATAGATGGCCAAAGAAAGCTTTAAATTACATACCACAACAAAGAAGAAGAAGGGGAAGGCCTTCAGTTGCCTGGGAAGAAAATGTACGGCACATAATGAGAGATAGAGCCATCAGAGAAGACGACTGGATGGACAGAAAACGATGGCGGTCGAAATGCGAGAAACGGCAGAGGCTGTAGGAACCTCGCTTATATATATATATATATATATATATATATATATATATATATATATATATATATATATATATATATATATATATATATATATATATATATATAGACTAGAAACTTGGTGCATCTTGATGACATATTCAATAATTCTTTCGGTTCCTTCTATATTCGGTTGCATTGGTTTATTTATGTTTTTTGATTGAATACTTACTTTTCATTTTCTAGGAGCACCACAAGTTTTGCGACAGTCTGCCATGCCAGAAGTCGTTGTTGAACGTGGTCAGCCGGCAGATTTAAGTATGGTGGTTTGCGCAGATCCAAGGCCTAGACTGGTCGCCTGGGAATGGGGATCCTTAAGATTGGAAGCTGGAACAGAAATGGGTAAGTATTAAATACGTTTTTATATTTTTAAACTGGAAATATTCCCTCTTAAACCCCTATTTGAAGAATTAAAGAGAAATCATCGATTTACTAAGAAAGAAAACGTTCCAAACAGGAAGTGTAGATGAGATCAATTTTAAACAAAAATTTCTATTAGCACTTCTGTAGAATGAATCATTCTCCCAGAAACAACGCTTCAAACAATCTGCCATTTTCAATCAATGAAAAGCATTTTTTTAAATATAATTTGTATAAACTCGATGATAAAAATTCAAATGCGTTGTAAAGGCAAAGAATGCCAGTTAAGTATGAAATTTTTTTATTTTGCCGCAAATGAAATTAGTTTCTATACAAATATTAAATATACAAGGTGGTCCAGAATTATGTACATTAATTTCTAGAGCTCATAGTACGTCCAAAAATAAGGGTACTTCTTTATGTACACTTTTTTATAAAACTGAATAATAAGGGAGATACAATCGAATTGAATCTTCCAAACGGTTTTGAAAACGAAGTTCATATTTTGGGAGTAATTATAAGACATTAGGATAATTAATTTCATGTCACCACCTACCACATCCTATATTAATACAGAGTTTGTTTGGAGGGTAAGTGGGGGTTATTACGTCACATGTTTTTAAATTTTTACATATTTTAAAAAAATATTTTAAAAATTGTTTCCTTAGACTTTTCTACGCAAAAAAGGTGCTTTTGTAATATTTCGATAGATATCACCGTTTTCGATTTATTTAAACTCGAAAGTATACATGTACGTTACATTTTTTAATATTCATCAAGTATGCTTTGGAATTGACACTTATGTTAGCAATAATATTACAAATTAATGGAAAACTTAATTAATACTTAACATTTAATTAATGGCGAAAATAATATTTCACATCAACTGTTCAAAATGTCCTCCATTTTGTTGAATACATAATCTAATTCTTTTATTTAGCGAACGCATTAATCCATTTAATGTTACTGGATCGTTTTGTAAATCGATAAATACTTGTTTAATTTTGTCTCTTAACTCACTTACTGTATTAATTGGAGTGTTATACACTTTTGATTTCAAATAACTCCATACTGTAAAGTCCATTGGATTAAGATCACAACTACGAGCAGGCCAATGAATCGGTGCATCCGCACTTCGGCCTATCCACATATCAGGGAAATGTTCATGTAACCACCTTCTACAAATTCTTGTGTAATGTGGTGTAGCACCATCATGCATGAAAAATATGTTTTTTCGTATTTGTAATGGAATATCTTCCGAAATATCATGTAAAATATTGTCTAGAAAATTGTAATACATGTTACCATTTAAATTTCCTGGAAAGATGTGGTATCCTATGAAACTATTTCCTAAAGTAGCTGCCCAAACGTTTATCTTGAACGTGTGTTGGAAGTGAGTTTCCATTGTAGCCCTTGGATTTTCTTCAGCCCAGAAGTGCATATTTCTAGAATTGAACATATCTTGTCTTGTAAATGTGGCCTCGTCTGTAAACAGAATGTTGCTTAAAAAATTTGGTACAACTTTATTTTGCAATACTTCACAAAAATCAACTCTAAGTGGCATATCGTCAGGTAACAATTCCTGCACCTGTCGATAGTGGTAAGGATGTAATTGCTCTTCATGCAGTACTCTTAAAACACTTTGATGGGAAATATTCGTACTTAATCCTATTCTGCGTGTACTTATTGTGGGGTCATTTATTACAGCATCCAATATTTGCTGTTCAACGCGAACATTTCTTGCTTCTCTACGACGACCAGCATCTGTATTTCTTCTTTGAAGACAACAGGTTTCTCTCAGTCGTCGTTCAGTACTTACAAAAGTCCTGGCATTGGGAATAATTTTGTTCGTATACTTTTCTCTGTAGCGTCTTACAGCGGCAGCAGCATTTTCCGAACATTCCCCTAATAATAAAAGTATGTCTGTCATCTCAGAATTTGAATAGTGTGCAATATTGCGGGCAAACAAATTTAAAAATATAGCAAAAGAGACGTGTTAAACAAATTTCACTGTCGAGTACAATAAAAGTGTAGATAAAATAATTTAATTGTTATTAAACGTCACTAACAATTTATAGACTGCTTGAGATTAAAGTGTTGTTGCTAACACAAGTGTCAATTCCAAAGCATACTTGATGAATATTAAGAAATGTAACGATTACAATAAAATACATGTATACCTTCGAGTTTAAATAAATCGAAAACGGCGATATCTATCGAAATATTACAAGAGCACGTTTTTTGCGTAGAAAAGTCTAAGGAAACAATTTTTAAAATATTTTTTTAAAATATGTAAAAATTAAAAAACATGTGACGCAATACCCCCCACTTACCCTCCAAAACTACCCTGTATTAATATAAAATGTGGTAGGTGGTAGCATGAAATTAATTATCCTAATGTCCTATAATCACTCCCAAAATATGAACTCCGTATTCAAAACCGGTTGGAAGATATTTGACAAAATAAGAATTTCAATTCACCCCTTTAAAGGGTTGTATCTCCCTTATTATTCAGTTTTATAAAAAGTGTACATAAAGAAGTACCCTTATTTTTGGACGTACTATAAGCTCTAGAAATTAAAGTAACACAATTCTGGACTACCTTGTATGAACGTTCAATAAAATATATAAGAGATCAATAAAATAATATATCACTTTTTTTAAGCAGTTACTATGAAATTTCCATTGTTTTGAAGATTGAAGATAGGGAGGCTATAATCGTCCTTCTCCTCTTTCATTTTAAGTTTTATTTTTAGAATTACAATATTCATTCATTTCTGGCTCCGTTCCTGGACCATTTCATCTTGTCTCTTTTTGTCTTTCACCAGCTTAATTTGCTTAAAAACGATGATCAATAGGACAATCGCTAAAGCAATTGTTTCTGCATCTCCAAGTCAGAATACACTTATTGTTTGCGATCATTATTTTGGCATGTCTCCCATATAATCATGCATTTGTACGATCTGTTGACTGTGTAACGAACGAAGTTGTATTCTTGACTTACCACTGCACAATTTACAACTAAAAATTGGCTAGGCCGTCATAATAATTAGAAATCTGCACCAAGGAAAGTGTATGTAACTAGACGCATTTGGTAATGTGAAAACTTATGCACTATAATACAGCCGTCGATATTCAAAAAAATATTGAAGGATGAGGAAGTTGTCATTTCTAGAATTCAGCTGATATCAACCGATAGGCCATTAAAATTTTAACTAATTTAATATCCGATTTATTTGTGATTCTCCATAATGATAAACAAATGATAAGGCCAATACCTGAATGTTTTTGAACTAAATATAGAAAATCATTGTTTCTCTTAATCAATCATATGTATTTTGTTAACATGTAGGTAAACCATCCAGTTTATTCATTCTCGTGCCTGACAACATAATGCAATTTCGCTTTTCTTTATGATCTGAGATCTTCTCTGGCTCGATACGTGATTTTTCTTCATTTCATCTTATTATTTATTTTTCTTTTCTGGCCCTCTAGTCTATTTTTTGGCCTTCCTTTTCTCTTTTTTAAAGCTATAGTGTAAGTAAGTACCCTTTTTGGAGTACTCGTGTTCGGCATCCTTTCTAGGTGACCTCGCCATCTTAGTTTCTGTGCCTTTATGAATCCTATTATATTAAGTTAATTATATAATTCCTTTAACTCATCATTTGATCTTCTTATCCATAAACCGTCTCTTATTATTCTTCCATATATCTTTCTCAGTATTTTCCTTTCCCATATCTCCAGTAAATTTTGTTCATTTTTTGTCATTGTCCATGTCTCACTGCAGTAGGTTACTATTGGCTGTATAGTTGTTTTGCATAACTGTATTTTTGCTTTGCTTGATAAAAACTTGCTTTTTAACACTTCACTAAGAGCATGTACACTTCTATTGCTTGCGATTATTTAAGCTTGTATTTCTTCTTTATTGTTAGGTTTACGTGATATTAAGTATGTAAATCTTTCTACCATTTGAAATTCGTATGATGATCCTTCTTCTACTTCTACTTTAAACTTTTGTCTATCCCTAAACTGATCATCTGTCCACTGCATACATTTTGTTTTAGTTTCATTTATGTAAAAAAAAAAAGAAAAAACGACTCTTTCCAGATTTATGTTTCGAACCCCTCACATGAAGACAACTCTATATGTAAAGCTACAAAAAAGTTTGAACGACCGACAATAACAAATACACCTTTAAGAAAAACAGATATGACATCAAAGATCGACAACAAATAAAAATGCTAAATCAAAAGAAAGCTCCTGGCTATGATTTGATAACAGGGGAATTACTTCAGAAGCTACCGAGAAAAGCAGTGGTGCTATTAACAATAATATACAACAGCATACTACATCTTCGATACTTTCCAATACAATGGAAATTTGCTCAAGTTACTATGATTTCGAAACTAGGTAAGCCCGCAAAGCAAGCAAATTGATATCCTTTTATAAGCCTACTTCCAATAATGTCAAAAGTATTAGAAAGGCTAATATTGCATAAAATCGAGCAAGTTGTTCCCATAAACGAAATTATACCACAACACCAATTCGGATTTAGACGTGAATACTCAACCATCCAACAATGCCACAGAATAGTAAATATAATTAAAACAACTCTCGAAGAGAAAAAGTTTTGTACTGGAGTGTTTCTAGATATACAACAGGCATTTGATAGAGTATGGCATGAAGGTATTCTCTACAAACTGAAATTACACCTAACAGACCAACTATATTTTATACTAAAATCATATCTTACTGACCGTTACTTCAAGTCAAAATTGAAGACAGCTACTCAAATTACAGTAGACAGTCTACCATACCTGAGGGTAGCGTTTTGGACCCATTTCTGTATCTGATATTTACAGCAGACGTTTCAATCAGCAATGGTACCTTCTTAGCTACATTTTCTTATGACACGGGAATCTTGGCAGTGGATATCGACATCACAAAGAGTACAAAATCTTTTACAAGATCAGTATTAATGC